TTCCAGAACTGTTTCTAAGTTGCCTCAAGCTGCAATTAGTTTAACAACGCGAAACAGAAAGTTGACTGCACTGGAACCCATTTTCATTTAGCACCTCATTCCAGTCACCAAGCACATTGATTGAAAGTAGCTGAACTGAAGAGAGAATCTGTAACTGAGTGCAGTTTATGGGGAAATGTTTCATAATTACTTGGTATGATGAAGAACACTTATATTATATATATATATANNTATGTATGTATGTATGTATATAATGATGTCTCTTGAAGGTAATCAGCATTAGTGAAAATTAGTTTTGGCAAGTCATACCAAAAAATAATTTACATTACAGTTAGCATAGATTTTATTTATTAGATCAATTATTTACATTTTTTTACAAGACTATAATCAAACGACAAATGAACCTTTACAACCATAACATGCCACTTTGCTTCATAATGAATTAAAAATGTATTTGTTTTTGTTGGTTGTTTCCCAACAGCAGTTGAATGCAACAGTTATGTACACTCTTCAGTATACTCTATACACGTGCCATCCCTTAACGTACCCACTTTTACCCTGTCACATATATTTAAAGCCACACACAGGAGTTCAGTGGAAAGCAGGCGCTTAAAAAAGTTATTTTGAATCTGACCAACAAAGCTCCCTGCTGTGAATTATTTTGCGAGGGTGATCTTTTTTCGTGTAGCCTCAGTGTTTGCCAACAGGTCTAAGCCGCCAACACAAGTGACTGGGAGTTTCACTTGTGATAAAAACACACACAGCCATCAAAAGGATTTAGAGTTTGCGGTAGAGAATCCCTTCAGAGCAAACACCTCCACATACACGTCTTCAATGTGTACAGTCTGAGGGTAAAGCCATTGACAGATGGTGTTATGCTCCTTCAGTATCACATGAGCAGCCCAACAGATGGCCTGACCTCAAGTCGTCACATTCATTTTCCTCCTGGTTCTGTGGTCAACTAAGTGCCATGTACACCGACAGCAGTACGGAAATCACAGTTCATGTATTAACCATGAAAGGAGTTTGGTTACAAACAAGCCAGTAAAAAGCAGCTCGACTAATCTTTGTTTTTTTTCAACAAGATTCCAATGTGGCCTTGTTTGACTTTGATACTATGCATTCTTAGAGGGAAGCTAATAAAAAAATAAATAAAAAAGAGACAGGGATTTTGTGGGATCAAGAGAATACAACTCAGAGAAAAGAAAGCAAACATTGAATGCCTGATTTAAGGAAAAAATGTGACAGAGATAGAAAGAGTCAGGAAAATAAAGCAAGGTGAGGGCATATGTAAAATGAGAGGGATTTAGCAGTAGTCAAAAAGCCTCGCTCTTCTGTATATCAGAGTAGAACTCGTGCTAAAATGATTGCTCAGTGTGTAACTGTAACTTTGTCCTGTTTTAGTTTGTATTGTTAATTTAAATTCGGTATAGACATTGACTGTATGGACCTCAATGTAGAATTGGTTTTTAGGAGGATATTTTAAGTTGTTTTATTAAAAAACCCTGAAGTCCAATGAGACAAATGTCTTTTTTTTTGTTGTGAATTTAGTTTATACAAGCTAAGACATTTTAAAGGTATTCACATTGATTTTTTTTTTTCAAATTTGGGGTTGACAGCAGTATGATATGCCTTTGTGTTCTGGGCTGGAGTAGGGCAGAAGACAAAACAGAAGATTTCTTTTGCAGCTGCTACTTCTTTCGCCTGTGTTCTTCTTCCTTTGTCTTGTTTTTTTTTTTTTTTTGCTTTTTCATTTGGCTTTCTCTCTTCCGTCTCCCTCTTTTAAAACATTTCCAGCCCCTCCAGCCCTAATGCTGTTTATTCTTCCTTTGAGACTGGTTTCATTTCTACCTCTTCAGTCTTCCGCCTTTGTCTCTGCACTGACAAATGTGGATGATCCCACCACCACATTCTGTCTGTTGATTCCCCAGAGGTTGGTGGGTGATTGTTAGTTCCACATGCTTTCAATCTCCATCTCTTTTGTCCTTCGTTATTCATCCTTTGAGATTGTGAGTTAAACTGGTGCTATTATTAAATGCATGTATAGGGATGGTGCCTCGTACTGTCCCTCTGTGGAAGCCTGGCCGCTCAAATTGTCTCCTCCCTGTAAGATGTCCATAATTTGAATACCTTTCTACCATAGGAATTCAACCCAGTATTTGTCCTGGGCCGTCAGAGTCCAGACGTCACACTTCAGTTGACGGAATAAAATTAGTACTGATTGGCCTTGCCATGCCTGCTTTCCCCTGCTGCCTATATACATTTATGTGTGTGTGTGTGTGTGTGTGTGTATGTCTAGGTCATGCAGTGACAATAGATGATATCCATTCTGGATCAACATTCAGCAAGAAAGAATATATCTTCCTATCACATAGTAAGAGAAGAGATGTGGGAGAGTTGAAATATAGGCAGGAGGAATTGAGGAGTGCGCAGCAAAGAATATGACTAGGAAAGCGATTGATGCCAACACCAAATTTAGGAGAGTGATGTAAGAGGCCCACGGTGTTTCTTCTTCTGACCTCACAAACCCGCCCTTCTGTAAGATAGTCTTTTTATTTCATTGTGCTCTGACATCTATCTGGTTTCATTACAAAAACAGGCTATGGAAGAGTGGTTATCACTCATGCCTTACAGTAGAAAGATCACCAGTCCAAACTGGAGACAAGCCTCAGACCATGACTTAGCAGTATAGGATGAATGGATGGATGGACCAAACAAACACATCCTCGTTGGATACTCTCCTCTACAGTCAAAAATCTGCTGCAGTCGTCTGTGGTCCTGCTGGCAGGAAGGTACTGACAAATGGCCGCTCGGCGCACCAACTGACGAGCAATCGCACCATCTGACACTAAGAATCCTCTCAGATTAGAAAGAGTGAGACATGATGTTCTTGGCCGTGACACATTAGGGTATATACACAATACCAGTCAGCTGGCTCCCTTGGGCCCCACCAGAGAGAGAATTAACTCTCACTGGTGATATCTTTATAATCCTGTAGTGCAGAATTACTGAGCTGATAAGTTGAAATGTTAGTGTTGGATGAATAAATAATGAAGTGAAGTATTTCACTGAATCCAGGCTACCATATAATGAAATATATTTTATGCATCTAGATCCTCTTTCCTCCTGCTCCTCTCTCTCTGCCTATCTCCTCCTCTCCTAATTACCATTTAGGAAAGGGGAAAGAAATGGAAGTGGGATAAGTGGCTAGGTGCAGTGGGTTGAAGGTTTAAAGGTGCAGTGATACAATGTAGAGATAACAATGGACAGGTTATAAGAACTAATTTTACACCAAGGAGTTCAGACATGGTTTGTACGATCCTTCTTTAACCTCACCATGTGCCGTAATAAGGGTTTGGATAATCTGCCATCTGTCCTTAACACCAGGAAAAATACCAAGTGGGGCGGAGGGAGGGTGGGGTTGGATGTGGAAGTGGTGGATATGCCAAATAAAAAAATGTGAGGATGATAAAAACACATGAACATATTTTTTATTTTTTATAATCTCCTGCCTCAATCTGTCACTCATTTATCCAACCATAATGAGAGGACAGGCCTATAAATACGTTCCTGTTCCAGTCCATTCAACCACTTGCAATTTGGATGAACTTGTAGATAGACTGATGATACAGTGAGAGGAGATCCTCCCCCTCTTTACTCACTCCCACATATGACAGGACAGGCAGACAATGAGAGAAAAGATGCTATAATTCCTCCTCCGGTCTTGTCAGTGCATGTTTTTATGTTCCAGGAGCTTCCACGACTGCTCCAACCTGAGTCACGAATCTTCGCCATAATTCTGTCCTGCCTACCTTCCAAAAATCGAAAAAACTACACTGCATTCCCTTACAATTATTCTATTTGTGAGTTACTTTTGTGGTTAGATTTGTGATTGGTTTGAATAACCAGAGGATAAATAGAAGATATCTTATTAGAATTCAAATTGATTGGCCAAGTATTACACCTACAAGGTACTCAGGTCCAGCCTTTTGATAGTCTGAAAATAAATACTAATAAAAAAAGGAATGTATAAAGGAATGACTGTGGTCATGCACTGCGGCCGCTGACACCGCTTCACATCACTCTCATTATGCTTTTAACCGCATAAAACTGCTAACGCAAACTCTCACTTTAAAACATATTGACTCGTAGAGCATTAAAATGGTTGAACCATTACGTCCAGCTCAAACCGAGAGGAGCTCTGCATTGGCCTGGTCAGGTTTACAAGGCGTATCATTCCTACAGCTGCACGTCTGCTCTAATCCACGGACACCGGGATAAATCAGCTGACCTGTGGCGCTCATTAAGCTGCCAGTAATGGCTGAAACAGCCATTACTGGCATAACTGCAGACAACAGGGGTCACAGTCCAAACACTTTGTTTAAAATATTTCCTTTTTTCTTTCTTTCTCTCTGCCCCTTTTGTGGAAATGATGAGAAAAACAGTAACATTATTTATTTTTTATAGTAACATTATATTTTTTTCATTGTATGTAGCTCATTGTATGTAGTATGTTCCTCAAAGCCCATGTGACCTTTCCCAGACTGTGACAGCTGGCATATGACATCGCTCGACCTCCACAGACCTGATTCCATACCTTTGACAACAACTGGCCTGGTACCCACAGCCACATAAAGATGGAATATATATATTTCTAGTAAAATAAATCAGGTGTAGGTTTGAAATTAGTTGTAAATAACACCAGTACTTCACACGTGAGCCTTGATGTTAAGTCCAAAAGTTGGTTTCTGTGGATGCTCTCTGATTCTCCTTCTCAATGTTGTTTTTATAATAATAATTTAGCATATACGACACTAAGGAAAAAATATGGATTTAACAGTTTGACAGTACTGACTGAAGCAAAATATATATATATATAATGTCCACATGGTCCAGATCCAATATCTTCTCTGGACAGCCCTCTCAGCTACGCTGTTTAAAGTCAAGTCATTAAAATGTTGTTTGATGACATATGTGACTCATTAGTTTGCATAAATAAGCCACACATGCACAGGCGGTGTGAATAAAGGTGACTTTACTGGAATAAATCAGTACTAATATCAAAAATTACTACCACTGACTGCTGCCTTCTCAGACAATTGAACACAAGTGTTTCTACAGTGAGCACACCGAACCTGAGAGTCGAAGATAATGAACAGACTAAATGTTCTGTAACTACTGAGGGATTACAACATGATGAAACATTATGACAGAGCTTATTATTTTTCCTATGTTTTTGTTTGTACTTCTACAGAAACACATCATCCTTTTCACAAGTCTGTGAAATAATTATCCCTTCATTACTCTGTAAACTTCATCCACCAATTCTAAAAAGCTACATTTTGAATTATACTTTTGCATATTTTTCTGTCATTTTTCCGATATTAATAAATCCAGCATTTGGATTAACACTACATAAAACAGATATGAAACACACGTACTACCTATCTACCTGCTGTTGTTTGTCTTTCAGTTCCAGCACCACGCAGAATCTTTTTGTCTCATTTAGGATGGTGAAGCATGATAATCATGAGGAATGCACAGATGTGCTGTGATTCATTGGATTATATTTCTATTATTATTAGCACAGATTTAAACAAAGGTCAGGAGTGGGTTGGCGATGAGCTCTCTGCTAATAATTCACACAAAGATTAGAGCAACAGTGGAACCCCAATGAAGATAAGGTAATTGTTTTTAAAATACACAAAGAATTAAAGTGGAATCCTGAGACGAAGGAATAGAAAAATCAAGGTATTTATATTACCTCTGGTTTCCATGGCAATTTCTTGTGGTGCTCACTGAGGAACAATCGGATACGAGCATGGCCTCTGCCGTCACGCCCTCCTGGGATTGGCTCTTCATCCTAACAGAGGAAACACAGAAACAAAGCAGCGGTTATTCCACTGAATATACTGTGGTGAGAGAAGCAAATGAATAGTGATTTGAATAGTAATATGTATAAGATTCAACTTTCAATCCATCAATCAACCACTCCATCCATCCATACAGCAAAGTATCCCTTCAATATTAGTAAAATGTCCTTAAAATACAATTATATTAGCAACATAGAGATTAAAAACGTTTTTTTCCAAGAAGAAAGAACCAAGAACTGGAGTCATTGCTAATCCATCTTTTGACTCCTTCAAATCCCTAATCTCCGAGATATTCTGACCATAAAGCCTGCTGGCCAAGACCTTCTCTGCAGAGATCCTAGGTTTTACCCCTGATCAGGGATTTATCCTGGTGCTCCAGGCACAGAGCACTGGGCTCAGGTCTCTTTGTCTGTAGTCAGCTAAGACATTCGTTAACACTAATGTAGAGGTGTGATGGACAGGACAGAGCACAGCCGTTGTCACTGGAGTATTCCCAGAGGAGTTTAGAGGGAGGCCTGTCTCTGCAGAAACAAGCTGAGATACTCCTATCTTTTTTTCCCCTCTTTCTGAGTACGAGAGGAGGAGAAAGAACAATACCAAAAAAGGCAAACAGCAACGATGTTGGACACAGAGCTTTGATTACTTTTTAACTTCCATAGGAGCGGGATGAAGGCCTGCCGGCGAGATAATGGTGAAGGAACGTGACAGTAAGCCGTTGGGGGATGTAAAAAGTTTCTACTCCTTTTGTGAAGCTCAAGACTTTGTTTAACGTTAAATAATTCAAAAGCAGAGCCACAGAGTGAAGGACACAATATTCATATTCCATGGTGACACGGTTTAGAAAAGACAACAAAGAGGTGACTGTGAGATAGAGTTCACACTTTATACAGCATTGTATTTTGTTACTCGTAAAATATTTGATATGTGGTACTATTTATGCTAAGTGGACGGGTTGTTTTAGGAGTGGGGAACTTGTTTGGAATACACTCCTTCGATGTGATTTATAGTCGAAGAACTTGACTATAAATCACTGTAATGACTCAATGTTGTATGAACACAAAAGCAGTTTTTCATATACATGAAAATATGCGGTCATCAATCTGTGTGTACTGAAGAGACGGTCATTACAGCGACAGTTTAAACTGTAGTCTTAGACACTGCACTAAATATCTTATATAAAAGTGATAGTGAAATAAGAATTGTTTAAAAAAACAAACAAAAGTAAAACAGACATTAGAGATGAAGTGAATTATACACAGGATGCCACAGTGATTTCTGGTCATTAGAGATGCATGTGATCAGAATAACTCAATCTGCAGCAGGATCATCCGTGACCAGCAGAACAGAAGAGGAATCTAACTCATAAGCTGAGGCTGCTACGTCATTGCTGCAGTGAACCAAGAGGGCTTCAAGCTCACTACATCTAATATATGCTAACGTGTACTGTGCGATAGCCATTGTGAAGTCAACAATATACCCCCAAAGACAAAAGACACATTTGCATGTGCGTGGAATGTCCTTGGACACCAGAGGACCCAGAGGACAACAACACATATGGGAAAATATGCTACATTTTACACAGAAAAGTCAGGATACAAGTCAGTGACTTTTGTGATAATACCAGTAAACAACCAACGTAATACAACATAAAACAACGTATTGTATGGGAAACAGAAATAGAACAGTTTTTTTCCTATACTGAACAACTCTGTTATACAGCTAAACATTAGCGCCACATCTACTTATGGACATCTTAAGGGTAAATGTTTTATCTCCCTTATGCATTTAAGGTAGATTACCCTCCATTAGTAACACATTCTGAACTACAGGAAGCACTTAGAGGGAGCAAATCTCTTTCAAGGCTGATATGTGTCAATGAACTCACCATCAACACCTAATTCTTTTTGCCTTTTATGTATCATGATCTCATTCGCCAGAAGATTTGATCCAAATTGCTCCTTTTTGATGGAGCAAGTCAACCAGAGAAATACTGTAGAGCCATCAGATAAACATTTACCCGGATTAATGCATTAACAGATTTAAGTGACAGGTCTTACTTTTACTGTCTGTCATGTTTTGAATTCCGACCAAAATCAGAACAATGCTTTTTTTAGCATTGGTCTACATTGCCTTGAATTTAACAGAATGACAAATAGTCGACAACAGCATGTGCGTTCGTCTGCTGGGGGGTGTAGAGTAGAGGAGAGAAGCAATTAATTAAAGCTCAACTAAGTTGTTTCATGTGCGAACACGCACAGCAGCGGTTGATCACAAAAGGTCTGAATGATAGATGAGCTGCCTTAGCAGTGGGCTTCTGTCCATCAATCCCACCAGTCAAACACATCGTTAATGTTGGGGCTAACCTCCCAGTTGATTTCTTTCAGAGCCCCCATGTTCAGTGAGCACAGTTCAACTGATGGTCTCACTGATCCCGGCCCAGAGAAACAACACAGGCTCGTGTCTGGAATACCAATGAGCTTAATTAAGGTCCCTTTTTAAATCCAAACAGGTACTAGTCTGCAGGAAAGTAGGCGGTGTGGTCATGAGAGAGAAAACAGGGTGGGGGCTCGTGTCATAATTTGACCACCATGATAACCCCTTTCAAATGAGCTCCGCTCAGATGGGTCCCCGAAGCCCACAAATCATACTTTCATTTTAAGGGACCTGCAATGTGAAAGTTAATAACCTGAGGGGTATAATTACATTCTTCTTAATTTTTCATCCCTGTAAGCCACCACACAGAAATACAGGACGTTAATTATTCATCCACCGTAATGATCAAACACTTTAGGTCCTTCACACCTATCATCCAATGACCCCGCTGACCTACTGCTCCCTGTGTCTGCATGTCTATTTCTCATGTTAATGTGAAGTTGTTGGCAACCTGACTTTTACTTTGACAATGACCAATGGCTTATCAACTAATCAAGACGCTGCAACATTTTCTTCAGTTTTTAACTAAATGAGTGTTTGATGGAGCTTAATAATTCCAGAGCTGCATTTTTAGATTTTAAGTGAAAGTGAATTATTTGTCATTGTGGCACACAAAGAAATGTGACCTCTTATTTTAACCGATCACCAACGTGAACAGTGGGCAGCTTAGGTGTGTGAGGACGGTGCCATGCTCAGAGCACCTCAGTGGTAACTTGAGTTAAGTTGGTGGACTCAAACCTGAAACCTTCCAGACCCAAGGCTGCTTCCTTAACCACAGAGCCACCACTGCCCCAAAGTAATAGCAAATGTAAATAACAGGTTAGCATATTCAAAAATGTTTTTGTAACCTGGTAATTTCACATTTTGAAAACACAATTTTCCCTCTGTTTCTTGTTGGTGAGCTGTATCTTGCAGCTTATACTCCAGTGAAGTGGACAAGTGTTATTTGAAACCATATATTAAACCATTTTTTAATCTGTTACTTTGCATAGTTCTCAGGATATTTTGTTATTATCATTCTTTAACCATTTGACCATCATCAGGACCTTTTCACTGCAGTTTGGCACAATACTCCCTGGTCTACTGACTAAAAACACATTAAGAGACAGAGTGGTAGAATGACAACAGAGACTGAGAGAGGGAGAGAAAAAAAACATAGCAAGTTTCAGACTGAGATGGAAAAGCAGCATAACATAAGAAAGATGAAGAGGGACAACCACAAAAGGGAGACCTGTGAGCAATGGAGCAGTAAAGAATAAAAAGAGTGAGTGAAAAAGTCCTTTCACAGGTAGTTCACAGCATTCTTGTACTCAGAAATCCCTGTGGCAAAGAGAAAGTTTGAAGTAAGAGCAGACTACCACAATCCCTCTCTCTTCTCTCTTTAGTGAACAGACCAAACAGACCTAGGTCTGCTTAGTTACGTAGCAGGGCAACAAAGCAGCGAGAAGTACGACACACTGCTGTTGTGTATGTGATGTGACAGTAACTGAAAAGAAGACATTTTACTTCTAATATACTCAAGTTAGCTAAAATATACTCAAACTCTGTGAAGTGGTAGGACAAAGAACTGCATTTCCGATTCTTCATAAAACTGATAGCATAGTATAAATGTATTCACAGAAACAAACGTTCTGGCTAAATAGATCATTCAGCTAATGCTACAGTGGTCATTAGAATGAAGGATAAACTAAATAATTAAGACTAAGAATAATCGTTAAAGGGACTGTTATTTATCCAGAGTGTGTCTATTTGGTAAGAAACTGTATATGGTTAGTTTTTTTGTGTTCATTGTGGTGTTTTTTAAGATATGATAAACAGAGATGCACTAGTTCAATGGTTTTAAAAATGGGGGCTGCGGCCTCCTCAGGGGCCGCTAGGGGTCCTCAGAAAATTGTAAAGAAAGGTAATTAGTACTTTTTTTTCTGTCAGTTTTCCTGAACCATATAACAAATAAATCGTTGTAATCTCAAGTTTCCAATGGTACCTGAATGCACCTCATGCATTTATTATTCAATGGGAATATACAGTGCTGAATAAATGTTTGTTAATATTTTCTTATGCCAATAATAGTAAATTAGCGTTAGGTTTCTGGGGGGAGCATTTATACGTGTATGTGATTAAAACATATATATTGCTATATATACGGTATGTTGTCATGACATACTTAATGGTGCCTCCTGTGGCAGCCTATGTGTGTTGCAAAGACTGACATTGAATTCCCCCATTGTGGCACAAATTAGGGCCTTCATTTTTTTTCTTTTTCATTTTAGCACTGTTGTTTGTACAGTCAAAATAAGCCTTGGTTTTATTCATTAAATAACACAATGTATATAATGACAAAATTAATTCTAAATCTTCTATAATCTTTCTGTAAGTACCAAAGATCCATTTTTCCATTTTTTGTAAATTCATGTTTTTTTTATTACTTTAGGAAATTAGTCAAAAATACAGGATGCGCTGTATTATTATTTTTGTGCCACCTTCCTCTGAGGACTAATTACTGCACCTTTACACAACGAAGTAGAAAATAAGTTAATTACCTGACTGTGGCCTCACA